TCGATGATTTAATGTCATACATGTAGGAATATAGTTAGTGAACTTTTCTATTTTATACTGAGAATGTTACTTTCAGGAGTCATGGACCTATTACATTGATGTAGGACTCGCGTGATATATTAAATAAGTTTTGTTGACTATATTTACCAATTATATTGAAGTCTCTAGCCCTGCTTGTTGGGTTTTCACTATTGCTGATCTGTAGATCAGGAGTAACATATAAGAAAGTAGGTCTGTTTCTAGCCTAAATAATATCAACCGGTAAAACATATTCTAAAGATTCTTCTTCTCCATTTTGTTTCAGATCAATGGAGGAATAACCCGTCTGAAAATGTGTCTACTACTGGACCCTGCAAAATTGAAGAGAAACTTGGTTCAGCAGTAGACATGTATTGTGATGTTGATTCTTCAAAATTTAGCTCTATTTCCTGGTTTCACGAATTCCGAGGTAATTGGGTTCCAATCGTAACGGAAAATAATCCAAAATGGAGACCGACTGTCTATCTGGCTAAGGGAAACAAAAAATTGACTCTCCTCAGCACTTACATTGATAATGTTAATGGTGAGGAGCTTGATGCTGACTCCCTGTACAATAAAAACACTAATGGCCTCTACAGGTGCAAGGCAGTAGCGGAAACTGAACATGATTTACATGAAACACGCACCATTGAATTGGAGCTATATGGTAAGTTAATTAGCATATTTGTCTCACAGAAAAAAAAATGGGTTTGTGAAAAAATGGGTCACATTTAGCATAGGCATTCTGCAAACACCCGGTTGTTTTGAGAAATTGCCATTATAACCTCAGAGTTGCAGGTCTATTTACACTTCCATTGTCTTTACATAAATGTGCCAACTCAAAATGATATTATAGCTTAACACATAGGTCTTCTAGACATGATTGGAAACCATATTCAGGTATTTTTGTAATATTCATACTGCTACAGTAAATCTTGACCAATCATGTAAAATTAAGTTAGTGAGTAAGAGCAAAACAGTCCTTCACTTCCTTGAGGTGAGATTTGAAATATCTTCCCCTTTGGCGACGATTCTTATATTACAATATATACGGTACATCAGTTTGCACTAATACAAGATGTACATGTATGTGAATATGGAGTTAAATACTTATATAGTAAAAAAGAAGACGCTGTCATCGATATCCCCCACTCGCAGTTCAAAGGTCAATAAAAACATGACGCATAAAATAAAGGTCAATTCAGCATCCAAAATATGCATTTAGAAGTGCAACCCTAGATACACGTTGAGCGGGGGATAACATTCCTTGTTAAAATGTACTTCAAATATTTAAGTTTAAATTCCGAGTGTGAAACAGAAGCTGATATGATATGGTTTAATTTATTTTGCAAATTAAAACCTAATAGTCAGTCTCATAAAATTGAAGTCTTCCTGTACTTCATATCATTTAAAGATTGAAAGGCATATTGATGTTGTTCAGTTATATCCATACAATCCAAGGGTACTGCCTCTCAACTAGTACAAGTATTTACCTTCATCCCTGAAGTATTTCATGATAACATTGAGAACCTGCGGTAGATTATTTGATTGGTTTTAGGAATAAAAACCTGACCAATTGATAGGCTGTTAACCTGTACTTTGAAGACTACAAAGAAAATACACCAAATTTCAATGCCTGTTGCTTTTTATCATTACGTTGCCATGCATTTCCTTTGATCTTTATCGTAAACACCAAACTATTCTACTTGTATCATCCACAATTGCAAGGTATAGCATTATAAAGAGACTTCAATTTTATCATGACTTATTCCAGGTGTGCAGAGAAGGTGTGTGTATTGAGATCGAAAAACCTTGGATTTCGAGGATGCATGTTAAAATTGTTTTATACAAAATAATGTGATAACTTCCTCATTTGAGATTGTGCAAGTCCTTATTCTTATCTTTCATTTGTCATGCAGAATGTGCTCGAAGGCAAAATGTGTTTGTGCATCTTACGTTGAACAAGGTGCTTACAGACTTGGGTAGGAATGTAACAAGTTCGTGTGTGGCAGACTATGGCTGCTACAGTGTTAAACCGTACTCTGCTGACTGGTATCTGCAACGGGGACCCAACTACACAAAAGTATCAGATCTGAAGGGCGGCAGATACCATGTGACCTCAAATGTCAGGTCTGTATTACCTAAACTTTACTGTCAAGTTTGCTTAAGAGACCACTTCTAGGAACAACATGTGTTGAGAGACCATTACGAAAGCCCCCTCCCCAAAATTATTGATTGTCCCGCCTCTTGATGCTCCTACATATATGTTAGGTAAATTATTGATATGGTGCTGCCTGTCTGGGTATCTAGATTATAGCTACACAGTATCAGAACATTATTCCCCAATAGTCACAAGGAGGTGTCCTTATCTTCTTTTCATTCTATTTTTAAGGTAATAGTCATGTTGGACAGACATATCATTTGGGAGAACCAGTCAAAGTTGTGTAATGTGTTTGGCTGAGGCCTCTTGGCCATAACTTTTTACCTTTACGCTGGGCTAGTGTATGGGCCATATAAAGTGTATGGGCCCTTTAACTCGTACATGCCACGTAATTTCCCCATTTAATAACTTTAAAGTGATTTTGGAAATGGACAGAAGAACCACCAACAAGAGGATACCAAATTTCACATTATGTTTACATTGCAAATTAATGTACAAGGTGCTGTGTACATATATAGGCCTAATCCATACTGCCTCATGATCATATACATAACCTCCATCCAATATTTGTATTCCCCACAAATTCAAGTTTACTAGAGGGAAGGTATTATAAGTACTTTATCAAATCTGTCGTTCATTTTGTTCATTCTGATCTTGACTAGACCACAAATATACATAATAATGAAAAAGAAATTGCTTAAACCCTTCATTTCACCATTATTGTAAAGTGAAGCGCTTGCCCCAACCTGATTTTTCTCTACCCCAGACATAATTTCTGTGATTTTCATATTCAGGACATCAAACTGATGTAACATCTAAACCAGATTTGGTTTAAAAAAGTCAAATAGAAAAAAAATGCTAAAACCCT